GAAAACACTTTTAAGTAAACTAAACAGACACAAAGTTCATGTATTACATGATTCCACTTATATGAAATATCTATAATATATCCATAAGGACAGAAAGTAAATTAGTGGCTGTTAGGAACCAGGAGGAAAATGAAGACTAAATACTACTGGGTATCAAGTTTCTTTTTTCTTTTTTTTTTTTGGTACCAGGGATCGAACTCGGGACTTTGTGCTTGCGAGGCAGGTTCTGGAACCACTGAACTAAATCCCTGGCCCTAGGTATCAAGTTTCTTTGAGGAGTAATGAAGATGTTCTTAAGTTAGACAGTCGTGTCAGCTACATAACTTTGTGAATAAATTAAAAAACAATGAGCTGTGTACTTTGAAAGGCTGATTTCACAGTATTTAAATTTTATCTCAATTTTTAAAAATCTAATCTTTAGAATAAAAATTCAGAACAGGTTGCCTCCAGGACTACGGAGTGCGAATGGATGGAACATGAGAGAGCTCTTGGGAGTGATAGTGATGCCCAGCATCTCAGTGGAGTTTGGAGTTACAGAGATGAATGCATATATCAAAATCAACAAATATAGGCAAGTTCTGCTCATATTACTGCATGCAAAGTTTGTACTAAAACAAAACTGTATGCAAATACTTAATTCAATTAATAACATGTATGTTGGAGTACCTCCCCCTCCCCCATGCTGGGGATGGAAGCCAGAGCCTTGTGCATGCCCAGTCCTAGGTTAAGTGTTTAGTGGAATATGTATCAGTATATGCAATTTACTTTAAAATACAGCAAAAATAAGATGAGTTAATATATGCATAGATAAGTGATAATCTAGAAAAGGTTAATAATGGAGCCTTGGTGCTGACCATGTGTAGGTGTATACCATAAAGTTCTTTCAAAATGCCATTATGACTTAAATTTTCCAAAATAAAATACTGAGGGGGGAAAAATCAATGAACAAGTAAATTATTGGCAAGTTATGAGTACCACTCAGAAAGTTATGGTTATACGACAGACTGAGTAGAGCATCTTCTCCTGAAGACATAATATTTAAGCAAAGATACAAGGACTAAGCAAGAGTCTTCCAGTTCCCCTCTGTCCTGACTCTTCCCCCCAAAACCCCTCAAAAGCCCTAAGGCTCTGAAAGTCGATGTATTCAATTAAACCAACATGACTAAAGTACAGTAGGCAAGAAAAAGGAATAGGGTAAAATAAGATCGAAGAGAAAAGCAGGCACAAAATTACATATGATTTGTTGTCAGAGCAAGGAATTGTGTTTTATCTAAGAGCAACAGAAAGTCATTAGAGGATTTAAAACAGGGATGGGGCGGGATAGGATGAGCTGTCTCCTTGCTCTTTTACATTTTAAAATATCACACTGCTATATGAATAATGACTGTGACTTGCTTTTACAAAGAGGTCAAGAAACTATTGTTACAGTCCTTGCAAAAGACAACAGTATTTTGGAGGAGTGGTGGTACCAAAGATAGTGAGTAATGAACGTGGGACAGCTTCCAGGATGGATCCTGGATTTTGGCCTAAGTAACTGGGGAAACATTCACTGTGGAAACTGTAGAAGCGGGTTTGCAGGACGGCAGACTTCACGATCAGAATTTTTTTAATTGAGCATGATTTGTGATTGTGCTAAAGATAGGCAAAGAAACATAATAAGAATGGCCTGGAAGTTGTTAAAAGACAGGTTTACATTTATAATTTTTTTTCCTCTCAAGAGTAAAAGATTATATTAAGGACCTCTGGTCCACTAAAAAGATCACCTAGTACTGGGCCCGGGCCCGGGACTTAGCTCAGTGGCTCTGCCACCTGCCCCCCACCCCCAAGCACAAAGACCTGAGGTTGATCCCCAGTACTGGAAAAAAAAAAAAGATCACCTATTACTGTTGTTCTCAACTGGGGTACAGATAAACTGGGTGTCAATAGCCCTATTTCTCTAAACTTAGAGGTCAAAGGAAAAAATTCAGCAGTGCAAACAAGGCAGACAAGGGAGTCCAAAAAACAAATACATTAAGTAACATATTAAGTCTTTTTTTTTTTTTTTGGTACAGGAGATCGAACTCGGGTCCTTGGGCTTGCGCAGCCAGCAGCGAAACCACTGAGCTAAATCCCCAGCCCAGTAACATATTAAGTCTTAACTGTCTCTCACCCCATCAATGATCAGAGGCTGCCTGCTTCTTTAAATCCACATATAAAATGCCTAAGTACCTTATAGTTTTTTACACAAAACAATGACTCAAATTTTAGCTCTCATCCTGAAATCTCATTAGTTTAGCCAAAGTATAATGAAAGATCCATGGTGTTAAGAGCCAAAGAAATCTAAATTTAAACCAGTAGCTCAGTGACCTTGAGCAAATTACTTAACATTTCTAATCCTTCAGTTCCTATAAATGTAAATGAAAATTATTAAACACAAGAATGAGCATTAGAAATAATATTGCCAAAGTGTCTGACTCATGGAAAAGATATTCTATAAATATGGGCTGCTATTATGTAAAAGGCACCTAAAAAAATCAATGCTAAAAACAGTTTCCAACTTTAGCAGCAAAGATTTCTGTTTCCAGAAAAGTACAGACTGGAAAGAGGGCCCCACATAAGACAGGATCAATTTCATTTTTACCATGTAACACAAAAAAAAGTAAAAGAAATCTAGGAAAGGTATGACACATACTTACAAATGGATAGCTTTGAAGATTTTATTATAATTCAGTTGGTTAGAATGAGGAACATATTTTCCCATAGAATCAATATTGGTTTACCTCTTAGATGAACTTAAAATGGTCCATCATAATCATAATGCAGTTAAGATATGATATATCCAATAAAAGTAGCAAAATAATTAATGAATGACCAATGACCGTACAACACAAAACCAAGAAACTTTAATAATATGCAATTAATTTCATTTAGAAGCCAGTACTTGAAGGAAAAGTACTATTGAGAGTACCTTTGATGGGAGGTTTCTGTGGTGATTGAGAATGGATTCTCAGGGAAATTCTAAAAGCTTTATAAAAGCTGATGACCCTGGTTCTTTACTATGTTTTCTTTCATCTCAAATTTTATGGCCTCCCTTTCTTTCAGTAGAAGCAAAACATTAGCACATTTATACTTAGTAGTTATGACTGTGATCATTAATTCATAAATGAGAAGGAATTAATAAGGGAAAAATATGAAAAAAGAAAAACGGAATTTTGAGGACATACCCAAGTATAAAGAAAATAAATTAAGATTGAATTTAAGGGACATCAGCAGGAAAAGAACTGAAAAAGAAGGAAAGCCCAGCATTAAAATGTGGAAGAAAGACAGCAGAGTAATGAGAATTGATCAGAGAGAAGCCATCCTGATTAGCTATTTATCTTAAAAGTCACAGGTTTTAAAAATGGTGGAAGAAAAACATAAAAGCAAGCAAATCAATCTGCAGACTATCATTTATTCAAAGGAAATGCTCACAAGCTGATGATTCATAATTCAAATTTGACACAACAATGTAACTCTAGAATTTTCTTCTAACCCTTTGTTGTTTCCCTAAGATCCTCCAAATATTGGTTTGGTTTTTTTGGGGGGTTTTTTTTGGTACCAGGGATTGAACTCAGGACCTTGTGCGAGGCAGGCACCGGAAAAACTGAGCTAAATCCCTGGCCCCCTAAATATTGTTTTTATATAGATATTATTATGATAAATAGTATTGTTATGTCCTATTAGGTAGGTGACTAGAATGAGGAGTTTTTAACTTTGTATAATAGAATAAAACTAAACTATTTTAGGAAAGTCTCCTCAAAAGCCAAGAGATATGTTACATACCTCTTAGCAATGAAAAATGCTAGATTTCAAACTTTTGATTTATTTAGCAATCTGGCAAATCTTACTGTGAAATACTGAAATTCTTTTTGAAAAGGTTGACAATTCTGAAGAAATGATTAACTAAGACATATTGTAGACAAATAAAGTAAGATTTTTCTATGGCCTAGTATTAAACCCAGGGAGTTTTTGCAAAGTAATAATAAACAAAGTTGAAATAATTTAGCCAAACCGGACTAAAAAGAACAATCCAACAACCAAGTAACATTTTAAATCACTAAAGAACTGTTATACTAGCCTGTTCTAATTTGCAAAGAATGTACTTATTAATGCAACTGATCACTTTCAGGCCAATATTTCTACATATCACAGCTACACAAATTTTGTCAAATCACCTATTCTCCAACTGCAGATGATTTTTCTAAATAATTAGGACTACAAGACTACAAGAAATGTTAGTGTGGATGCTGAAAAATTTGGACATGGGAATTGTAGGATGTTTTAAAGATGGCTATGAATCCCTATAAACATTGGCTAATTTCGCTCACCTGTCTACACATTTCTTTCAAACGTAAACAAATATTCAGTTAATAAAACTGTAAAGTTTTTAACAGCTTTGTTAACCATGATAATAGAATGCCCATACATGTTTTCTCAATTAGCAGATACTGAAAATACAGTTGCTCTCATGAGCACCACAAATATTTTTAATTAAAAAGTACAACAGTCATTAAAATGGCCTCCAATTTACCTTTTACTCCATTTAGAATATTTATTTCTAATTTCCCACATTCTATTTTTCTTAGCAAGATACATTTTAATATTTAATATTTAATATTTTTGTACAAGGCAAAATTTGAAGAATCTTGTCACTTTAATCATATATGAATTTAACTTATAAACTATATTCAACTGCTTACACAGGAATTTACATTAAATCCAATTTAAGGATTTTTAAGACAATTCCTTCTTTTAATTAGCCAGCGAATTCACCTTACAAAAGAGGTCTAATTACTCTCTATAGTCCACTTTAGTAATAGGATATAGTAATTCAACTGATAAATTCTTTGGAGCAACAAGTAATCAGAAACCTAAAACTACTAAAATATTGCTTGCTGTATGGGACCTCCTTATTATATCTTTACTTAACTGAATTTGCTGAAAGACACAGAAACCCTACCAAAGTTAATTTAAGAACTTACCAATTTCCCTCGCAATTCTGACGGCTTCATCAGCATCCTGTAACAGCAGGAAATGAGACTCAACATTAATCCCATGAGGCATTGCACAATGTCTTTAGGGCAGTCATATATTGCACTACTGTCTCCTCTGATTCATTTAATGTTCAATTTTACAGCCTTCTAACCCTTTTCATTCAGAGAAATGTAAAATTAATACCATAAGTGGAATGTAAATTCTACCTCATCATTATTATATTAAGAAACTCAAAGGGGTTTGAAATGAGCTGGCAGGAAGCACTAGCAGAGTTGCCAATGATCTGGTGTAGTTGCTGGAATTTAATGGCAGAATTTGAATGTTTACAATCAATACTGAATCATAAATCAGATCATTAAAGCTTGTCTACAGCCAGCTTGTTTCTAATATTTATAGATCATGTTTTCCTAGATTCTGTCAGCAGGGGGAGTTGATTCTCTATTGTTTGGGAGGAGCTTGATCAATCTTCAGAAATAAAAAAATAAATTTCCAATATCTTTAGGAATTATCAAATTTTTAAAATTCGTTATGATAATTTCCTTTACCTTTTGTGTCTTACTTTTTATTTCATCTCTTTTTCGGGTACCCAGTTCATCTTTATAGTTGTAGCTTGCTACATAAATAAAGACCTTAAATTCAATACCCCTCCTCCCCAGAGAAGAAAAACCTACAAAACTCCACGGGAGAAAACAAAATACCTTCCCAAACAGTTTGGTACAAAGGAAAAGTTTACTGATATAAGGATTAGTTACTGCTAACTATCAGCTAAAGCCACTTGTATCTCTAAGTAGCTGAGGAGGCAAAAACTTCCCTTGAATCTAGGTCATTCATTGATCATTAACTCTTACCTAACACCCTGCAAAGAATACTCACGACACATTTCCCATACAACAATGAAGACAATACTGAGCTCCAAGCTCCTTTTCAATTCTACTTTTTTTAATTGAGTAACAGAAAAAATAAACTATCAATAGTGTTTTGAAACCACCAGCTGGTAAGTATGCCTAGACTTTTAAAAAACTTTAAAATAGTGAAGTGAAGCCTGTTATTTTCAAGCTTTTAAGTTAATACACTTAAAATATAGAGCAACCATGTGAGAATCCTCCCCTAAATCAGAGGTAGAAGATGTTTATAACTGGTTGGTTTATGTCTAATAAAAAAAAATCTTCCTTGAAAGTCTTCAGTACCTAATAACATCCCCTGAATAAGGAGGTTGGCAGGGGAAGTTGTCAGAAAAATTTAATTTCCTTTCATTAGCCAGTCTGCTCCACAAATAGGTGCTTGTTAAGTTCAAAGCAGTCCTGAAAGCGACATCAGTTTTAAGTCTTTTTTTACTCCAAGCAGTCACATCTGCTAATGAGATTTTCCAAATAACAATTGTTTTCAAGTCAGAGATAAATCTATACCTCCCAGCCAACAGCCCCCAAAAATCAAGGTTTACTGCTTTTTTACACCTTGCTGTTTTCACTGACCCTACATTCTCCAAATTTTAGCTTAAAAGGATAAAAATCCATGAAAAGGGTCATTTAAGAATGTTAGTGGTTTCCACACATTGAGTTGGAAGGTTCTTTGTTCCAGCCAGTGACAGTTATTGGAGAATACTTGCCTTTAATAGCCTCTCTGTCAGGAAGTGTTAAACCTGCCAAATGCGAACAATTAGGGCCTCTTGAACAAAATGCAGGAAGAGTGATGGCTGCCCAGGACTGGATTATAATAAGCCTAGAAGGAAACTTCTAACATTTCTTTCAAACGTGCAAGAGTATATTTGTCAAAGATAATCCCAGAGAAATGTTACTTTGAGAGAACTAACGGGCAAGTTTTAAAGAATTCGGAAAATTCATTAGCTAGATTTTGCCATTTATTTATACATATACATATTACAGATGTGTCATGTGCATATAAAGAAAATTATATGTAAACATAGCACAATTTCTAAAAACTCTTGTAACTGCCACAAATCCAGGATTTTTGTTAGATACCTGCCACAAAACAATCTTATCTTTTAACTAATCAGTATGCTTAAGTTTTCTTACTATGAAAATCAAATTCTATTTGATTCTATTAATCAATTCTGAAATAAACTTAAAAATTAACTTTCACTTGTCACTCATTTATCCCCCCGCAAAACTTTAATGAAGACCTATTATGTACTAAACACTAGAAATTCTATTACTGGTTTCACAAATAAACTACTAAAAACACTCAGCTGCAATATGGTCTTTCAGCACATTTATTTTACTACTGGGCTACATAAAATTACTTCTGAAAAGATAAAAACTCCCATATAGCTCCAAAGTCAATGGTAATGACATATGATAACTATAAAACCCAAGTAAGGTTACAAAAAATTAATAAAACTTTCAAAGAACTAAAAAAAAAAGATTGTTGATTGTTGAATCATCCAGAAAAATGGGCAAATGGTTAAGTTCAAATAAAAAGTCCAAAAGGATAACATATGAAATATGTTCAATCTTAGTCATAATTACAGAAATGGTAGATTAAGTCAATGAAAGCTCATTTTTACCTAGCAAATTAACGTTTGATAATGGCCAAGAGTGGAGACTTAAAAGTAAATAAGCACTTCTCACATTTGGTGTCATAGAAAATGGTACAACAGTTTCAAAAATAGTCTGAGGATGTGTGTCTCCTGACTCAGCAGTTTCCCTCTTAGGAAGTTATCCTACAGATATTCACACACGCATGCACTAGAGAGACATATACAGAAATGTATTATTTTCAGTATGTTGGTGTCTTGATAAGAAAAAGAAGCAACTTAATAGGCCTTCGATAGGAGACTAGTACCACAAATAGTACAATGATAAAAATGGAATATTACATGCCCTTTAAAACTGTAAGGATGATCCTTATGTTCTTATTCAACCACTTCTACACTAATTCCAAAAATATTTACCCAGTAACAGTACATGAAATAAAGTTTCTGGTATTGGGGAGCTTATTACAGGCTAATAAGAGAAATAAAAAATCAAGTAAACAAATCAGTTGAGAACTACAAGAAATGTTACAATGGAAACAAAGAGTACTACGGCAGAGAATAAGAGGACACTATTTTAGACAGGCTATTAAGAAAGGGCCCTTCTGAAGTAAAATTTGAAACCTGCAGATAAAAGTAGCTCACTACCCTGCAAAGATTAGGGAGAAGGAAAAACAACATGTACAAAAAGCCTAATTAAGAAGGAATATAATATGCTCCAGAAACAAGAAGGTCCTGAAGACTAAATCTGAAACACACTAAGGAAATGGCAGAACAGGGCAGGATGACTAAAAGCAGGGGGCAGGGCCATGTTCCAGCCTGGCCTTTCAGAAGGGTCCAGAATCCCAAAGGCCTTGGTTGTATCGAAGGGGTGGGGAGTGAACTGGAGTTCCATTTTAAAATGATAATCCATCCATTCATCCATCCTTCTTTCCTTCCTGCCTGCCTTCCTGCACCTTAGTAATACTGAATGTTGAGGCCTGTTTGGGGAAAATGGTATACACATTTAATATATCTTGATCATTTTGAATCCCATTACTCTTCTCTTCCTCCCTATTCTCCTGATCCCTTTTCCATCTCTACAAATCTACCTCCTAATTTCCTGTCATCTCTAAGAGAGTAAAACTCTTACACTCAAAAGATATGCAAGACTGGGCTGGGGATTTACCTCAGTGGTTCCGCCACCTGCCTCGCAAGCACAAGGACCAGAGTTCGATCCCCGGTACCAAAAGAAAAAGATATGCAAGACATATTTAATAAACTTGGGGAAGAAAAAGCAAGTGATAGTGTACATAATGTACCCTTATTCGTATTAAGATAGCAATATACTTCTAAATAAATGCATGTATGAACAGATACAAAAAGCTGAAATTACTGCTCAAATGTAAGATTTAAGAGTTGAGGAGAAGAGAGATGGGCATAGTAGGGCACATCTGTAATCCCAGCTAATAAATCGGGAGGCTGAGGCAAGAGGCTGGCAAGTTTGAAGTCAGCCCAGGAAACGTAGCAAGACTCTGACTCAAAATAAAATGGTTCAATCCCTAGTAACAAAAAAAGGGAGGGAGGTAAAGAAAAGGAAGAAGGGAAGCAAAGGGAAGAGTTCAGTTGAGCTGGAGAAGGGGAACTTTTACTTAGCATTGCATATCCTCAGGAACATGTTGTATACCATAAGAACCATAATTTCATAGTTCATACTACTTTTATAGTTTAAAAACTAAGTCACCCATTATTGAAGGTATTTTCAAAATTTAATAAGTGATTATTTTTAAAAACTATATTCTTGAAATTCATTTAAATTTTTTATGATTTCCAGTTCAAACTTGGTTTTAATTCCTCCTGCCTACTCCACTATCCTGAGCCCCAGTCCCTTTCTACCTAATCCCAAATCCCAAATCCCAGGCTCCCTTCCTGGTCTTTCCATGGAAGAGTGCCTGGTCAGCTCAGTCAGGAACTCTTTCTCCTTCATCAAACCAACTCATACTAAGACAGGTGATGTACTGGGTCCTGAAGACACAAGGGGCAGGGGCAGGGGTAAGAAGACACTCTCCTAGCTGTCATGTAATGTGCAGGGTTATGGAAAAGAAAGACCTCAAACATTATTACAGAGCAGCTAAGAAATGATGTTAGCAATGCAGGTTACATAGAAGTGGTAAAGAGAACATGGGACAACAAAGAATCTCAAATTCAGAGTTTCCTGGACATCTTCTCAGGCATAGTGACTTTGAAAAGAGGCCTAATACATGAAAACGATGGTGAAAAATAAATGGCTGGTGTCTCAACAAGTCACATTAGAGTGAACTTCAGCTTAAGAGCAAGGCAATGAAGGGCCTCGCTCTGGCTGCATTTTGAAGAACTTGGCATATCATTCCTTATTTATTATGGATACAGTCTACCTTGTCCATCTCTCCATCCCATTAAAATGTAAGCTCCCTAAGGGCAGAAATCCATGTCCATAGGTGGTTCAGTGAGATAGATGGTTCCAAATGCATAGAAGAGCATCTGGCATGTAGAAAGCATCCAAGGAACAGTGTAG